GGATACAGAGCCAAGAGAGGAGCTCAAAACGGATACGGAGATGAGCCAGTAGCTCCAGCCGCCGAAGAATCTCAACCACAACAAGCTGAAGAGGCTCCAGAAGAAGCTCCAGAAGAAGTCCCAGAAGCAGCCCCAGCTCCAGCTGAACACGTTGAGGAAGTTCCACAACAAGAGTCTGGATACAGAGCTAAGAGAGGAGCTCAAAACGGATACGGAGATGAGCCAGTAGCCCCAGCCGCTGAAGAATCTCAACCACAGCCAGCTGAAGAGACTCCAGAAGAAGTTCCAGAAGCTGTCCCAGCTCCAGCCGAACATGTTGAAGAAGTCCCACAAGAGGAGTCTGGATACCGCGCTTAAACGGGTCATTTGTTTGTGTTTGTAAGAATTAAATGATTAATCGAGATAATAATAAAAATTTCAAATCAAAAATGATATGGCAAAATAACAAAAATACAAAACCTAAACTTTCAGCTTCTGACTAACTATAACTGACTATACTGAGACTGGACCAGGTTATAGTATTGTCCCTTCTTCTTCATTAACTCTTCATGAGTTCCTTTCTCAGTTATCTAAACAAATAGACTGAACGTAACATATATCGAATGACCAACCTTCTTATCTTTAACTACACAAATCAAATTTGCGCTTTGTATTGTGCTCAAACGATGAGCTATTATTAACACTGTTCTTCCTTTCATTGCACGTTCCAAAGCTTCACGGACCTAGAGCACACTTCATTGAAGAAAAACAGACTTTTGCAAACAATAATAATCGAACGATAAACAAATGGTTAAGACATACCAATCTCTCCGAATCTGTGTCCAGAGCACTAGTAGCCTCATCCAATATAAGAATAGGAGGATTCTTCAAGAGAGCTCGTGCTATCGCAATACGCTGGAAAACATGACTTTAGGAGATTTTCACCATCTAACCGAACTTGTTTTTGCCCACCGGAGAGTTGAGTACCCCTTTCTCCTACAACAGTTTTATAGCCTTCGGGAAACTCATTGATGAAACTATGAGCATTTGCTAATCTTGCTGCTTCATACACCTATAACTCGATGTTAGATTATTTGTCTGCTTAGAAGCTGTACCTCGTAATCAGCAGCATCCGGCCGTCCATACCTGATATTTTCTTCTATAGTCGTAGCAAATAGGACTGGTTCTTGAGAAATAAGGCCGATAACCTACACCATATTACAGAAGAGAACAAACAAAAACAAATACCTGACCGCGGAGCCACTCCAAATTCAATGAACGCAGATCTTTACCATCAAGAGTTATGATTCCAGAAGTTGGGTCATAAAATCTTTCCAAAAGGGAAGTTATAGTACTTTTCCCCTGACCACTAGGACCGCAAAGGGCAACTATCTGACCCGCAGGGATGGTTAAGTTCAAGTCATCAAACACTACATGCCCTGGACGTGTCGGATAATGAAAAGAAACATTCTCAAACTCCAACTGAAAACAAGACTATCCCGATAGGGTTGATATGCAGAACCACTTACTTCACCCCAAAGTGTGTGGTATGGTATGCAAACTCCGTCATCCATTCTTGTCGTTGGTTGAAGTTTAATAAACTTTAATTATCAACTAATGTTTCTAAGAAGTAGAAAAATATAAACCTCAAAAACACGAGCACCGGCCGTCCAACCACGCAACGCATGACCAAATACGACAGATAACTGACTAAGAGACTTCTGAATCGTTTGAGCTGTTACGAGGAACGACATGAGATCTCCAGGAGTCATTAGGCCGGAGTTAATGAGCGAAGAGCCGCTGTACAAAACAGTCAAAACTATGCCATTTAAGAAGAAATTGGTAGTTCCTCAAAATTAAATATATCTTTAAACATGACATTTTGGCTAGCTACTCACCTTGAAAAGCTCCAATACCTATTGCTAGAAGTTCGTTCATAAATCGAGCACGATTAACTTCTCTTTTATATAAACTAAACAAAATGAAATAAGGAACTTTGAGGGAAAACATACTTTGTTTCCTGTACTTCCATTGCAAAAGATCGAACTGTAGAGATGTTGCTTAAGGCTTCATCGGAAACGGAAGCAGCTATAGCGGATTGCGCTTGAGCTCTGATAAGTTAGGATGATACAACTTAACTTCTGGTACTTCTTACTTTCTACTCAATGATCTAAGTATGGCTCCACAAAGAGTTCCTACCAAGATAATCGCAGGCAAAGCAGCAACAGTAACAACAGTCATAGATGGAGAAATGTAGAACAGAGTCACAACACAGCCTAATGTCTGAAGAGCAAAAAGTATTGCAAGAAATGGTAGCGAGTTCAACCTGTGCGAGAGTTTTAAGTCCTTGCGCTACGGTAAGCTTGAAACAACTCTTGAACTCTTGGATATCCACATTCAAACGAGAAGATAATTCACCCGATTTCTTCAAGCAAATCTGCTCAATGATAGGAGAAGAACTCACACCTGTGTATCATAGAAAGACATATCCATAATGAGTAACTTTTCGAAAAGTCTCAGCTTCACATCATAGCAAATGCGCTCACCTAATATACTGATGAAAGTGATGTACATGAAGGTCAAAACAGCCTATAATTAATCCTGAATATTTTACTACTATTACTTGATTTAGAAGAAACCTGAGCTAGGTAACAAGTAACCAGTTTGAACGCCTGGGGTTTGATGGAGGAAACATCTTTTTCAACGCCAGTGGCATGGCCCTTGATTAGTTCCACCATGACATCGATAAGCTCCCCCAAGTAAAGAGGCAACTGTATGTTGACAATTGCGGTTAAAACCGCACACTAAGTTTTTCTATTGAGATAAACGTTCTGAGTATTGCTAACTCACTACTACAGCTGCGAAAAACCATCCAATATATGGCTTAATAAGACTCCATATATCCCACAAGCTGAGAGTAGGTTCTGCTTGAACTGTTTCACATTTCAAATGATCAACTCTTTTACTCAAAGTTGGAATAGGACGACATTCTGCAAATCTATCACAGAATTTGAAGAGTACAAATACTGTTGAACCCAAACCTCAGAAGAGGGACACCCGCTAAGCTCAACCCCAGTCCAGCAAGCTTAGTTGCTCTGAGTATCTTAGCTTCTGGCTTCTTCAAAGTTTTACAGAAAGAATTTCGAACGAGAAAACTGAACTTAAAAATGATCAGTCATAATGAAAAAGGATCACCTATGCTGCTTAAAGCTGCTGATCAGCTTCGAAGAAATAGAAAAACAATAACTATTTGTGATCTTAGAAAGTGACATGGTCACATTGGTTTATTACTAGTTGAAGAACCGAGATGTTCTCAATATGATTTATTAAAAAGAAATACAGTTCAGTTTGATCAATGGATGAAGCTCAATTGATTAGACGTTCTAGCATTACCGTGCAAACGAAAATACATCATAAGCGTGAGACTGAAAATGTGATGTAGCTGCTTACGTATTTACATGATTTCTTTGTGATTGTTTCACTATCTTTGCATTTGAATAAAACAATATTGTTAAGTTATTTCAATTGAATTTTCTTTGTTTAAGATTGGGAGAATTATACAATTATCAGAAAATGAGTAAACGGTAGGTGTAAAAGCTATTACTTTCAATACATTCTTGTTTCAGAATTAAAACATTCAACGATATCAAGGGACGTGAACATGATAGTGGAGAAGAATCAGGGAACGAGGGGCAAAGTTTTTTTGTCGGTGGTAGTGAGCACAGGTAAGCTTGTAATCCTATTTTTGATATAAACAGTAACCACAGTGGTCAACAAGTGATGGGACCCAGTAGAAACGATATTCGCCAACAACTTTTTGATGCAGCTCGTCGGGCTGGAGCTGAAGTTTTACCTAGCGGTGAAGCATCGCCTGATAATGTGAGAAGCTCTCTGATATGATTTGATGTAATTATATTCTTAGGCTCGTGCCCGCTCTTTCCCCGGAGGAGGTGCTAAACTCGGAGGAGCTGGAAGTACTGAAACTTCTGAACCCATCCCTGATGTTCCAGAAATGCCAGAAGATAATGTTGTGAGTTCTTGCAAAATATTGTCGTTACTGTTCTACTTAACTTCTAGGTCATAGTTCGTGTCTCTATGTATCATGATGGCTTCACCATCGAAGATGGTCCTTACAGAGCTTTTGCTGAAAACGAAGAGTTTGTCAACGAAATCATGACTGGGTATGTTACATTTATTATTCTTTTATATACTTCTGTTCAGTCGCATTCCCACAGAAATACAATTAGCTCACCCTCGGAAAAAAATTGATCTTCGTATATCCCCTGTATCAGGTGATTATGTACCACCAAAGCCCAAAGCCTTCCAGGTACATATTTTACTTTTTCCTGTTTTATTTATGTGTACATAGGGTACAGGAGCACGTTTGGGGGCCATTGTTCCCGATGTTATTGTAGGCACGGCCCCAACCCTTCCTGTTCAGTCAGAAGAAGGTAGGGTTTTTTTGAAATCATGTGACTGATAGAAGTTTTAGAAAAGGCTAAGAGTCTTGCTGACGCTCAGAGCAATGTAAAGTTGGAGGATGATGCTCCGGTCACTCAGGTTGATCAATGTTGAATATATAATTGAAAGGTTGCTTGAATTCCAGGTCCAAATTAGATTTGAAAACGGTCAACGTTTAGTGGCCAAGTTCAATCATAATCATACCGTTCAAGAAATACGCTCTTTCGTTGTTACGTATGTATTTTTTAATCAAAAATTTCTAATTTCGTTATTCAGAGCTGTTCCGGACTACGCATTTACTCCTTTTAATCTCATGCAATCTTTTCCTCGTACTTTGATTGAGGATGAAACGGTTACTTTAGCTGCTGCTGGTCTTATCAATTCTGTTGTAATTGTGAAGGCAATCTAAATGAAGAATATCTGGAAAACGGTCTGTATATACCCGGTTTTAACGTGAAAATCTCTTTCTTTAACTTATTACCGAATATGATAAAATTTCTGTTTGAACTGTTTTATATCCTCACGAATGTTGCTTAACATTACTTACTTGCTTTACTCTTGTGTATAAGAAGTTCCTCTGTAATACATAGTTCCTAGATGTCTTTGAAGCAATGGCTGGGCTTGGACAAAATCCAAAAGCTTCAACAGATTGTGAAAGAGTTGGGAGGAATCAAGGCGGTGGCAAAAAAACGATATTTGTAACTTTCTTTTGGTTTCACAACAATATATAAACTTTTTAGAATGGATGTTACACGCGTTGGAACATTGGTTGGTGAAGATAAGTTTGGAAACAAGTACTATGAAAACAATGCTTACTTCATCCCACGTAATCGTTGGGTAGAGTTCAATGAAAAAGTTTGGCTTGATTATGATGCTACTCAAGTTCCATCTGAATGGTATAGTTATAACCCCTTGAGTTCTACATGAGTCGATGGTTTAGGCACGGATGGCTTCATCATATTACTGATGACACTCCAGTCGTTAAGCCACCAGTTAATGAGAAGTGGGTCTTGTCTCATCAGGAGAATGTTTCGATTTACCAGTAAGGCTTCCAATTTGTTCTCCTCATACTTGTTATACATTTTATAGAGACAAGAAGTATATTCCATATTCGACAACTCGCCCCAAAATTACAGGATGGCAACCTGGGCAAAAAAAGTCCAGCGAATAGATGAGCATTTTTATGTAGGCTGTGTAGATCAAAGCGTATTTTGTCATTCAAGATAATAAAATTTTACCCGGATTCCAACGTTTTAACTTTTTGACTTTTGACCTGGTGGTTGAGCATTTTGTAAACGAATTGTATCGTAATTTTTTGAATTGTGCACTAATTTGGCGCACTAATTGATTTCGCGATCATAATTACAAACGACAAATCAAAAAAAGGTTGTCACGGATTTTCAATCTATTGATATTTTGAACTTGTTTACAGAACTCTGATTCCTTCGAAAGGAATACCATAATCTTGTTCAGGAGCCACTTTTTCTGTGTTCGCATTCAAAATGAGCCCGCAAGATGATCGGTACTCAGATATCAGCAGTATTGAATATGATGTATAATACATGATGTGCTTTCATATGTTTCAATTTGATTTTTAGGATGGTGTAATTGATCACAACTTCTTAGCTAATCAGAAGAATACTAAAGTTAGTTGAAGTAGTGATTTTTCTTTTAATGGTTGAAATTTAGGTGGATATAGAAAGAGGAAATGGCGCAACTTCTGAAGGGTTCTTTTCTAAGTTCTTTCAAGAATATAATGATAATCAGTTGCTTAAAAGAATAGTTCGTTTTCGTTGAGTGAGGAGAAACTGTTCCGCTTTTATAGGCTCAACATGAAGCCGAAGAACTCAAAGTTTTCATCGCTCAGAAGCTCTTTAAGGTAATTAAAGTTTCTTTCAGACTCTAATACTGAACAATTAGGTAGACGGTATCTTATGTGATGAAGAAACACGATTGGCTATGATCGGTAGATCTATTAATGCCATGAACAGCAACCAGGAAGATGTTACTCTGGAGTTGCACTATGGGTAATCAAAGTATAGCTTTTGAAACATTTTATCTTTTGCTATAGACGAGATATGGCCAACTGGTTGAGGGAAAGACTGTTTCCAGCTTTCGCTGAATGCTCAACCGTTCTGAAAACGGCAGCTAAAAATTTCGATATGCTTCGAAGGGTTAGGAGTTTCAGTCATTGTTTTATAATGTATGCTATTAGGTCGATCCTCTCTGCAACTGGTTTTATCAACCTCCTGAGATTTCCGGATTAGTTGCCTCCAGAATCAAAAGATTCGTTGATGATATGGGTTCCAAAGTAAAGTGGTCTTTCCTTATAGACCCTGGAAATCTTTCGTGTCACTTGACCGTAAGTTTGAATTTTAATCTATTGTTTTGAAGTATAATATGCAGGAGTTCACAAGTGAATACAGAAGACTTGAGCTTATGACTGCTAATGGATTATCTCCAGAAGAAATCGCTCAAGCAGCTTTCAATATGAACTATTTGTCAAAAGCTCGTAGCAAAAGTTTAAAATTTTTGCTCTTCTCTTCTTTTTTAACATTCATTTCAGCTGTCCCTTGTATTGATCATTCCCGAGTCAAACTAACAGACACACCTGTAATACCAGAAAATGCTAGTAAAGCTTTGGATACCATATTCAATGATGATGATATGGGAGATGAAAGCGGAATTGCTTAGTCAGTATCACCAATGAGTTCTTTCTTCTAACTTTGAATTTTCAGCGGTACCGATGATTTCATTCATGCTTCATATGTCAGAGGTGGTCCATTGCTAAACACGTTCATTTGCTCACAAGCACCAATGGAAAACACAGTATATGATTTCTGGCGAATGGTTTGCAACATTAACTGTTTGTTCAATGTGTCTTTAAGGTTTATCAAGAAAAATCAAAGCTGATTATCATGCTCTGTGAGGCTGTAGATCCATCATCTCTCGGTCCTCTAGGAAAGCTTGCACCTACTTCTTACTGCCCATACTACTGGCCTAGGTATGAAGGAGATTGCGTAGTTCATGGAAACATCACCATCCGGAACAAACGAGTTGATGCTACGGTAGACCCTCTGTTCAATGTTTCATATCTGGTATGTTCTGTTTGTTTTGAGGTGTTTGCAATTTCGTTTAAGGAAGTAACCAAGGACGACGAGGCGCCATTACTGGTAGAGCACTGGCAGTGGGACTGGCAGTACATGGGAGATGCTCATTGGCCGTTCAGAATACTGAGAAAGTATACCATCTAACCTTATAGTTTTTAAAGTTCATTTCTTAGAGCTCGTCTATCATCTTCTCCGACTATTGTGCAATGTCTTGACGGATGCACCCGAAGTGGAGCATTAGTAACCATTGAAACTGTTCTTAGTCATTTTCTCAGAGGTGCGTTCAAAATCAGCTACTATAGTCAACTCCACTTCAGGAACACCTATGGATGACAACGTTGTTCTCCTGTCTTCGGCGTTCGTAAGACTGCAACGTAAACTGGCGATTGGGTCTTCTCTACATTACTTATTCATTTACCGTGCTGTTCTTCAATGGGTGTCGCCATACGTGAGCTCGATGACACAGAGAGTTTCTCTTGGACTTTCATGGAGATCCTACGGCTTCACTGCAAAGTTTGATGATATGGTGAAATTAGATTCACAATCGATTCGTCCTTTCTAACGAAATAATTTTATAGTACTTACATAATGCTGTGATAATAACTGATGTTTTACCTTTTTCATTGTAATAATGAATCACTTTTTTACGAGAGCAAATTACACATACATAAGGGTGATCAGACACCAATTAACACGTCTCAGTGACACGGGGCAGAACTGCGAATTTCATACATGTAAATTTTATCGGTGGGGGGAAAAATATAAACAGATAAGAATACAAAAAAAAATTCCTCAGATTAGAATCTCAATCGTTTTTCTGATATATCACAAGATGAACTGGATGTTCTCAGGGGTTCTAGAGATCTTTTTGAGCCAGTGGTGAGCAAGGAGATGTTTCTCAGATTGGAAGTAGAATATACCTTCTCAGGAGATTCGCCACATGATGAATCAGAAGAAGAATTTAACTCGGGGAAAATGCTGAAATTTTTCGGTGTCCATTGGCGTAGTTTTGTTGATATGCAGTCTGATGATTTGATTTCACCACAAAAACTAAGAACTGAAAGTTCGAACTCGGCCTGTAGTGGAATGTTAGATAGAATAAAAATAAACTCAAATACCTGGAACTCATCTTGTTCGTGATAATATAGAGATTCTTGGAAAACGTTGTGAGAAACCCATTTGGAGAAATTCCTTACATCTGTCATATTACATGAAGCAACAAGCCCCCCTTCAATGCATTATGAGAATCACAAACGGTTATGAGGGCAAACCATGGGAAGAGCCGTGAAGGTGAGTGTCAATTAGCGTTATTGTGTGAAAGGAACGCTCATATACGAACAATACAGATCTTTGGAAAGCAATCATGATAATATATATCTTTTCTTCATGTGCTAACTGAGGGCTGGAAGATAAAAATTATAATGAATGTGGTGATTTACAACTCACTGGTGGATAACACAACGTAAATAACTAGGAAGGTGAGTTCTTATAGGGCCTACTATTGAGCAGAAGTCGATTTCCTAAATTTTTTTGACTCAAAAAGGAAGACTGGACACTGGGTACTCGAAATGGGTTGTTAACGGCTATCAAAGCATCAGGGATAGTGAAATAAGGATCGACACTGTCGGATGGGTTACTTCTTCTTCTCATATCCAAAGCTACTTCATGACTTCTATTACCATTGATTATTGCTTTTATGTAATTAGATAAGAGAAGTGGACAAAAGTTCTGTAAAACAAATCTTATAACTGTTGCTATTGACTCGTTACCAGAAGACCGCCATCTTTTGAAAACTCGTTTTTTAACCGATGAGAACCTCTAAAACAATTCTGAAATAGAAAATAAACTATTCGGCATAAGCACACGAACTAACAAATAAGTATCGTATGTTTCCGGATATATTTATACTGTTCCTATGAATGAGTTCGGCAAGAGATATTGCTATTAGTGTGCAAGCATTTGAAGGAGTTTGGCGTCCACCGAATCGACTCTGAGAAAATTCAATAGGGAGCCGCCATACAACCACAGAATTCTAAAAAAAATATCCTACGGGAGCATTCAGAGAGAAACAATATAATATGGAAATTATGAAGAATAGATACTCCAAATCCTCAATATCTGGCTTCCGAATACCTGTTCAAGTTTAGCTTCAATTTGAGGGAAATGATTCTCTAACAAATTAGTTAAGCCCATTCAAATAATGCAAATCAACAAATAAATGCTACTCCGTCATCTTGACGTGAACGTGGAAACTTACGTGAGAATAACTCGAAATATTCAAAATCAGTACCAATCGATAATGCACTCACTATGCTTCAACATTTGATGATTTGAGGATTTCTTTTATTCTGAGTTACAATAATATTACAGTTGCAGTTTTCTCATTTAATATGAAATGAAACCATTTTCAGATCAATAAACTCAGTTTTGCTGGTTTCTTCGGCGAGTTCTCCAATGCTTTCTTGATGTCGTCCTTTAATGGATTTCCAGCCAGGTTCAACTGGATCAGATTTGGACAGCCATCATATAACTTTTCCACATCCAACTCTGAGTTATAGTTTGATCTATGATTTTTTGTGAGTTGAAAACCTTCTATTTGGTTTGCTGACAGATCGAGTACGACCAATTTGCTCATACTATAGATACCTTCAGGAAATTTTTCAATCTTGTTCTTAGACATATTCATAGCTTTCATTTCCAACCAAGTTGCAAATTCTTCTGGAAACTCCGATACCTCATTACCTTCCATATTGAATACTGAAGTGAGCATTTGCCTAATAAAATTCAATAGAAACAATTACTTGTTGTGTTGGGAAACTTTTCCAAGAACTTTTTTGGAAACTTCTTCAAGCTATTCTCGCGAACACTGATCTGTAATAATGAAGACGTAATTCAGAATTCTAAATAACAAACTTTGTTAATCTCATATCCTTTCAGTACTAAATAAATTGCATCAGCTATATATATTAAACAACAGTTCGATAAATCTATAATAAAAGTGATATCAAATGTATACTGTTTAAGCTTACCTAAGTATGCAGTTGTTTTGGCGCTTTCACATCTTTCAATTACTTGAGTAACCCCACGACCGGCTGTAGGTGGAAATGCCATCTTGGTTATACTAATCGTATAGGATATCGATCGAACGGAAAGAAAGCTCGCAAGACAGCTGCTGTTAGAAAGTTTCAACCAATCATTGCAATGTACACAAACGAGTTTGAACAGATGTCAAGACATTTATTAACTCTGTACAACAGAAAAAAACAAAACCGTATGTTTGAGAAACCAGAAAATACCATATTTGTCCCAGAGTTATATTTTATTCCTGGGATGTAAGATTATGCTAGCTACTATGTTAATAGCTTTAAACATAAATTACTTATTACGCTACGCATCTATAACTAACTGAATAGCTATGTATAAATAAATAGCAGGAGATTTACATTTTCACAAATTATAGTTGCTGCACAGTCTTCTTAGCATAAATTCCGAAATCTTCCAATCGCTTCAAGGCTGATCTGTACACAGCCTTCTCTATCGGGCGAAGAACTCCAGGTTGTTGAATTTCACCTAGACGAATTAATAGCAAGATAGCTAATCAGTGCATACCTTGGAGGACCATATTCGAGATGATAGCACAAGTATATCCAACTGTTTTAGACATAGCTGAGAAGCCATTCTCTTCACCATACGATACGAGACTAATTCTATGACGTTCTCGATCTCCACCTGTTATTATAGCTTGAAATATATTCAAAAAATATTACAAACTTTGCAATTGGACTCCTACATCATGATTCAATACGACTAAATCTCGTTCTCTCTCTCCAAAAGCGAGTACCTAAAAACGACTCTTGGAATTTGCATTTTTTGATTTACTAACCTTAGCAAGATAAGGAGCAAGAGTATCAAGAGCACATCCCTGTCTGTCAACGACAATTTCACTGAACAATCCAAGTTCTTTGAGAGAATTGAATCCGATGACGTTCTTCTTTCCAACATGTTCAGCGGCAATGTTCTTAAGAGAATCCGGGAAAATATCCAAACGTTGATTCAAAAGAGAAGCCATAAGTTGTTTCTAAAATATTTTGAATGAGTCTCAAGTGATAGGGAGAAAAACTTACCCAGGTAAGATCTGGACCTTGAATGGAACTGAACACCTCTGATGGTTGAGTGCTCAATAAGCCTACGGAGTCCAAGGCCTTCACCGTTTCAACAAATCCCTATGAAAACGAAATCAATATTTCTGTTACAATAATTTGACTACTTCATAACGGAGTGTTCCTCTGAGTAAAGTTTGGCATTCAGAACCAAGGCCATAAATGTCGGCGTATTTAGTAGAGTCTCTGTTGGCGTATCCAATGAGATTGAATCCAGGCATAAAGTCAATGGGGTACAAATAGTCAACAACTTTGCCGGCTTCAATTTCCACAACCTTAACAGAATTATAACGATGATATGAAAATGTATTGCGTTACCTTTCCGTTATGGAGGTATTTGGCAGGGTTTAACAAAGCGGTCAAGACTCCCTTAGGACTCCAGCTGAACTTGTACCTCAATGGGTTGTCGGAAGATTCAGGCGCAGGTAGCCCCCCACAGAAGGACACAAATGAAGTCACCTGAAAAAAAGTTCAGAATAGAATATTACGATAGAGAAACATACTCTTCCACCATGTTCGCGAATAGAGTCAAAGCATTCCATAGCTAGCATATGATCAATTCCTGGGTCTAAGCCAGATTCATTCATTATGGTAACCTCAGCATCTCTCGCTCTTAACAACAAACTTAGAAACGAGCGCGCCTGCCTTCTACACTTACGCTTGATCTAATTCTTGCAGTTCTGGTGAGACATAACTACTAGTAACCATATTTCTCTTATTTTTGATACACAGCTTCGCGATCATAGGATGATAAGTGAATGGCAGAAGGGACACACAGAGGTCATGTTCTCTGAAAGAAAAATTTTCAAGTATCCGTCGACACTCTTTAAAAATAAACCTGATAAGCTTATCAAGCACGTCGGGTTCCCGATTCACATCAACAACAACTGAAGATATATTGTCTCCAACAAGCAGTTTTTGACCGTCTTGTCGAGATTCGGTAGCCACAGTCAGACTAACCTAGAAAAATAATACATTAAACATTAAAATTAGTTCACTAACCTTCTGTTGCTTAGAGTAGAAGTCCGCGAATGGTCCGCTTACCATTCCAGCTCCGAGCAAAAGTACCTTTTTCTCATCGGCACCCATCACACGAGACTTATGTGTTGAGGCTCTGAAAATATCAGAATGAAGCTCAGTAAATGATTTTGTTCTAAAGACACGCCTGTTGGGGGCGTTACACAACCCAAACACTCTACTTGGCGCGAAACTTGTGATAGCTTCAACGCAGTAGTGTTAGAGTACAACACTTTGAATTAAAACTTACAAGGCTTTGGCTTTTCTAAGTTCAGCAATATACTTATAGTTTTGAGTAAGACCTCCATCGCTTGTTATAATAGCTCCTTTTACTTCATCTCTACAAGCAGTACGATCAAGTGGGATATCAGCGGCACAGTTGAGCTGTAACAGAAGTCATGAAACCGTACAGTTAGCAAAGCAAACCATATCCATGACATAGGGATACAGCAAATCTCCAAACTGTTCAGTAGCCTCGATAGGCATTTGAGCAGGCATGTTATCAATACTGCATACTAGACATCCATTAGGTAAATCGAAGCTGGAACGTGAAAATTATTGTTTGTTATTTGGTTCCCCATACCGTTCTGAGCTTGTATTAAAGTCAGCATCATATATCATGAAAGGCTTATCGATTGTAGTACAATCAGTCATGAATTCAACAGAACCACCAGGGTCAGCAGAAATATCACAGAGTGCAATTAAACGATGTGGCAAGCTAGGACATCCAGGAGTGTCATACTTAAATAAGATTTGAAAGAGATAAAACCTTGACACTCACTTTGCGAACTGGAGTGAGTAACTTCTTGGCGTCAGGAATCGTGAGAAGTCGAGGAGTACGAGCATCCCAATAAACTCCATTGATGATGACTGATGCGTAAGGAGCAATCTCGGTGGCGAACTTAGAAGTATATCTTTCCGGGTGAGCTTCGAATTCCTCCTTGTTGAAAACACCACCTACATGAGATGAGATGTACTTTAAAAACAAAACAAAACACACCATTCTTAGGTACCATGTGATCAGCGCGAGTTACAACACATCCATACACTTTGTTCAATTCTAAAAATAGACATTAGATGGTACCCGCACATTATACCGTACGTCCTTTCTGAGCAACCTTAGGAAGAGTTGCAACATCGACGAACTCATGGGGTAGATGCTGGAATAGATCTTGCGCTCCCTTGGAGACGTTTCCGGAACCAGTAAACACGAACACTAAAGGTCCCAATGATCTAAAATTACAGTGATTTCAACTATTCCAATATCTCTCAACCTTGGCATTTTGTCCAAGGCAATTTCGTAACCAATATCACGTAGGGCATTGATAGCCATATGGGAGTCGCTGTAATTATGTGCCAGCCCCATGTGAAGAAAAGGTGTATGATGGCCTAGAGCCAAAAGTCTGCAGGTATTTTTATCTGTTATTGCTACATAGTAGAACTACCTAAGTCCTAGTCCGTGAAGAATATCGATAAAACCAGCATTTCCAGCCCATTTTCCAAACATGACCAATCGTTTTCCACGCTTATCAACTATTTTCTCATAATCAATCAACCGAATTTTCTGACACAAAAATGAAACTGAACAGAACATCGGAACATACTCTTTGAAGAATGGTGTCGAGCATTTCCATATTATCTTGCTGGGCCTTTATAGTATGCGAGAAAAATGCATAAGCCTTATTTGGAATCAGTTGATCCACTGGTACCTGAATGACATTGTAAAAAATTTAGCGACTTCAACATGCCTGCTTGACAGAAATGATTAAATGAGCATCAGATAGATCTTCCCGAACTGTAGCACCTGCAGCAACATAATCCTGAACACTTAGTTTATACAAGTTTAACGGTATGTTGAACCTGAATAGGATAAGCTCTACGATTACTTGGTTGAATGAGAATATTCACTCCAGCTTTCGTCAACTTCTTAACGTGAACTGGCGCAAGAGGGGCTCTTCTCTCCCAAGCATTAATAGTTTCTCTGCGAATACCTAAGGTAGGGGTTCCTCTTCCATGGAACGCTTGATAGCTCCTGGCTACCAGACGCTTGCTATGTAGAGGAGCCCTTAAAAATGTCATCTGAAAAAAAATATGAAGAAAGTATGTAAAATACACATTTTAGGAAAAGCGATTTCATCCAAATTGCGGGTGAATTTTTCCTTGACCTTATTGAATTAAAGAGAAGTAACAAATAGAAACAAAATGAAACAAAAAGCAATTGAGAAAGTAAAAAATTGTGTTGATCAACACTAACCACGCGCGCTATTAGACGGATTGTTAAATAAGAAAGAACTAGAGAAAGGAAAACTGAAAGAGAAACAGATGCTATCGCAAAAAGTTTTTGCCAGGTTTTCAACGAACAATACCATAAATAACCTCGAACTATAAGCCTCAATAGCCGGTTCTGGGAAACTGTTAAAACAATCAGAATTCATTTACAATACTAAAGAATTACATCAACAAAAAAAACCGAGCTTAAGCCAACAGCCACGTAGGACGGCTGTCTCAAAGAGGAAGGTTAAAAGTCCACCAGCCACGTGTTACCTACGAAACCATTGCTTCTGTTTTTCAACTGCGGGCGCGGAACAGAATCGAGTGAATGACAACGATCATCTGATCTCTCCACCTCTTTTTCAAGAACAAGGTACGGTACGATATGCTGTCACATGAAATTCCTCTATAGGGTTCTCTCGAAGTTGCGAGATGCGCAGAGAAAAGTGGCTCAAGAACGGTTTAAGCAGCAGTACTTTTTGAAGAAACTTCATGCAGAACATCGATAGTAACCAACACGACATGAATTGAAAAAGTTCCTTAGGTTCCCGTCAACTCAAATTTCAAACATAAGTAGTAGTTCATTAAAATTTATGAAAATAAAGAAATGTATACTCTGAAATGAACTATGTAACATATAATCCGCAACATAATCATTAAAACCCATAAAATGAACAAAATCAATTCCCAATTCCTTTTTTTTCCTCTGAGCTACAAAAAACTTGAAAACAACACCCTGCTCACGTTGCTCAAATTTAAATAATGGTTGCTTCCACACCCTGCGCTCTAGCGATTAAAGGGCGGCTATTTTTGCAAACTTTCGCTGCGAGACCATGACTGAGTATTCGACGCTCTCTCAGGCCCCCCTCGCCCGTTGGTGGTCTTTTTAGCTATTTTCTGTTTTCCTAAATTAAATATTTTTTATTTTTAAGGATTTGTTTGAAATTTTCTATGACTTGAACATGCTAATTATCAGGAAATAACCACTTTGTTGCTCTGAGAGCGTATCATTTTCATTTTCCATTTGTGAAACAGTTTTTCTTCGCTTTTACAACTTCTCTAACTTTTTTTATTTGCAGGGTTTCCTAAGAAGCTCCAACCATGGTGAGTCAATTTTTCTTGTTTTATATTATAAATTATGTTGTTTAAGGGCGACGTCGTTACTATCAGAACGAGAAAGGTTCTCACCAACCGCCTTCTTTACAGAAAGCAAATGGTATGATTATTGTTGATTCTTTGAAGTGTAATTATTCATGAACCATATTTTTAGGTTGTTGAAGTACTCCACCCTGGCCGTCCTACCGTGCCAAAGACCGAAATCAAGGAGAAAGTAGCCAAGCTCTACAAGGTTGCTACTGATTTGGTTATCCCATTCGGATTCAAGTCCCAAATCGGAGGAGGAAAGACCAAGGGATTCGCCCTCATCTATGATACCCTTGACTATGCCAAGAAGTTCGAGCCAACCTTCAGACTTGTCCGCGTAAGTGTTGATTTTGTTTTCGTTTCTCATTTTTCTTTCGATAGATGGGTCTTGCTACTAAGGTAGAGAGAGGAGGACGTAAGCAACGTAAGGAAAGAAAGAACCGTCAAAAGAAGGTTCGTGGTACCGCCAAGAACAAGGTCCAAGCCGGAAAGAAGTAAAAAAGTTGTTGATTTGTTTGTTATGTGGCATAAATGTTACATACGTGAACTTGTTCCTTTTTTCTTGGTTATCACCGCACTTATTGCAATTAAACTTTAAAAACGTCTCAATGAGTTATCACTATAGAAATGTCGTCACGAATCGGTTCTGATATTAACACGGATGAGATTGTAAATTGTGAGAAGTACCTTTGGATCACAAACAATTTTTTTTTTAGACTTAGAGAAACTAAAACAAGAAAAAAAGATAACCGATCAGAACTTAACTACTTTAGAAAGAGAGAAAACCATGCTCGAAGACCAAATTGAGGTTTCTGAAGAAGCGTTGTAGTTATCGTATATTGTTCTTATTAGGAGTTAGAGAAACGAAGGGACGAAGTATACGCTAGATTTAACCGTGAGAGGGAAATAGTTACCAAGCAAGAACAAGCTATAAAGAAGGTAAACTGTTCAGTATTTTTCTTTTGCTCTATACGATCCAAAACAGGCTGAGAGCGCATACTTCCAAATCGTCGAATCTTCCAGAAGCTTGGCAGATTATTTGCGTCGTGAATTTAAGGAATCTCGGAAAGAGTAGCTCTTGTACTATGATCTAACTGTAATTACTGATGATCTATCCTAACACTGGTCTCGTTTTATCATATCACCACTTGCATCAATATTTTATTAAGACCTTTTCAAATAAAGATCTCGTGAGCATTATGATTTTTTTAAAAATATAATTAGTATAAATGATATGCTTAACAATATAATCTATAATATACATATATAGATTACCCGAATGATGTGGAAAAGAGAAAGAACAACGTATAAGATATAAAGTGAACAGAGAATCATGAACTAGGTGGAAGATCGGTGAAAGCCGATGACGTATGTGATCGCATAAGTTCCATTGGAACACCACTAAGCTCAGCTCTATCAGCCGCTGCTAATGAAAGTATCATGGAAGATTCGAAAGTACCAACATGCTGAAAATTTTTAGATAATTTTCGAATGTAAATCTAAGAATCTTACGTTAAAACATGAAATGAGCAAAAGTATTTTCATAGCTCTTGAGGATTGTTGTATGGCAGTTAAATGAGGGTAGTGTTTCGCTATCGACCTAGCTAATGCTTCTAATAATCTATCGCTAACTTTTTTACAAATTGTCTGGGCAGTCGTAGACAATGGGCAGTCTGAACGATTTTCATTAGAATTCGGAGTTATTTTGAATAAATACTTTGCTGGAAGAGAGTAATCGCCTTCAAAAGACAATACTCTTCGAAACTCATTTGCATCTCTTTCATGGGTTTCACCGTCATCTCTACCAACTTCTGGGACACTGGACCATATACACTTATCCATCTTGAATTATTAATAAAAAAAAGGTTTTTTGGCAGTGTCTCACTTTGCCTCCATCAGTTTTATCTCGTCTCGATTGTAAGGTAGATATGAGCCGTTCCCCATAGGCACACCTACGTCCTCTGAGTTGTTCTCATAGCATTTGTACGAATAAGTTATCCATCCAAACGCCATAAAATTTTGTTTGAACAACTGTGTCTGGAAGAAAATGTTTTAAAAAATAGACTGAAATTTGGAATTACTTGATCTTCTAAAGGAATCACTCGAAAGTCAGGAATACCGAGAGCCCAATCCGCGTGAAGAACAAAGGCTCTATACCATTGACTATACAAATCATTGGAAGAGATAACTCGTTCGCACCTCCAATTCAGCTATAATAAGTTTAAAATGAAATGCTTAACGAGGGATCATGATGAGGCTTACTCGTGTTCGATGGATCACTAGTTGAGGATTTTGAATCCCAAGAGTCAGAGACACATGTCTGCTCCATTCACCACTTCCTGATCCTGTACTACAATCTTCATCAACTAAACGTTCTGTTTGATGTTCCAATCCACACAGAAAGATTGTGAATTGACATTCATCTGAAAATCCACGATTAATTCTTTCGTTTTTTTTTGTTCCCGTTTTTATTACTCTAACAGGTCCAGGAAACTTAACTTGTAAAGAACTCGACTCACACTCTTCGGAATCAAAGGAGTCATCGCTTGAACAGCGTGAAGTCGGTATAGGATCTCCAAGTGCTACCATTGTCAAAAGATAGGGAGGAAGTCAAATGTTGAGATAAGCTCACCCCATTTGACTACATAAGAAAAGTATTTACTCCGAAAGGTCAATGATCGCATTTTGCCAGAGACATGAACCGTTTTTTGTTTTTCTCACGTAGGCACCCCCTGCCTATACCCCCCTCTCTTATCCCCATACAGTTTTACTATCCTACTCTCATATCCCATGCCTCAAAGACAGAGTAGATTGCGTGACTTTTGGGAAAATAGGTCTCGCATGGTCAATTATTACAAAACGCACGTACCGTTTGAGCCTGAACTCGGTTTCGAGTTATTGCTTTCACTAGAAGGTTCTTGATCAGAGGTGGATGAATCCAAGAATGATGCAGATATACCGTTAGCCATCCCAGGTAAAAGTTTTTCCACTTTTGTTCTTTCTTCTCGTACATGCTTGGGGTTCATACCACCTTCTAGACAATTGCGAAGACGACAGGCTCGACATCGGTTTCGAGATTCTAAAATGACTGCATGAAGTAAAGTTCCGAGATGTCTAATCAAGGGAACCAGAAGTTCTTGATTGGAAACAAGGCTGTAGCGAAACAACAGTGTGAATTTTTTAAAAAAAGTAGTCAATCTAACCATTTGTGATGCTACATAAGTTGTCAGCACTGCAAACATACACACGTCCTTCGAAAACACTTCTTCTACAATTATATTTCCGGTGAAAATGTGATGGAATTTCAAATTTATTACCGAAAGAATGCTTTGCATCCGTGACAGGAAGGTGCTCCGTAATGGACGCGGATTGTTGAGTCACTACCACATCCCACACACCTCTCTCCCTGAAATGACATAATATAGGACGGAGTGTGAAATATATTTCTATTTTCAATTCATAATTGCTTCAGGTGATGTTCCAGAGCGCTATCACATTGGAATTAATGCAAACTTGAGTTTTAGTGATAAGCGAAGCAAAGAGACTCAAGAAATTAGGTTCAGAAGTGCAAAAGTTCACCATAGCTGATAGATTTACTGTATGGAATCAACGATGTCTTCGGAATTCCTATATATCTTCTTTCATTTGTCGGGTTAGCACATATAGTCTGTGATAAAGTCATGAGTTTGAAAATAAGGATTTCTTCGAAAGGAAAAGAACGAAAGTTTTTCAATTAGAGGTAAGAACATAACAAGTTTTGAAATGCTACTCATAGGGGATAGTGAAATGATGAGTTACAGCAAAAAGTGCAGTGTATCTCATTGAAATAAGCATGATGTCCACATGAAACAATAAAAAAGGATTTCATGTTTGAACCAAATGAACGCTACTACTGGACGAGCTCCATACTACGAGCATAAGTCAAATATTGCACACATAAAGGTAAATAATAGTGATCAAAAGTTTGCAATTATTAGGAAAATTTCGATTGTTATGATGAAACAAAATAATTTTGGAATTAAAAGAATATATTATGAGATTCCATATAAGAAAAATAAGTAGAACTGTAAAGGAGCATGCAAGTTGTGAGATCTGAAATCAAAAAAAATCGATAAAGTTGGAGACAGACGTGTACAACCGTTCAAGCAAAGCCGCAGAGTACAAATTAAAAATTCAAAACACGTGAGAACAACTTATGTCGGATAGCAGCAGTAATAACACTCTAACTTCTTATCAAAAATTGATATTTTTCAGATTTTGGAGTTAGCTTAACAATTGATATATTTGATAATGACCAAACATGCCCAACATACACATGCTCATGAAAATTTCGTTTTCAACGCAAAGTTTCAATGATGAATCTATTCGAAGCGCATGATTAATACTATTGATGATCATGAACTATTCATACTTGTAACAAAAAAAGCTCACAAATATGTTCGATAAGTGAAAATTATTAATTGTGTGAATGAATGGACTTTTGCTGGAAATCAGACAGATTAGGCGGATAGATACGAAAGCAGACAACCATGCAGACGAAAAGAGTGAAAGAAGTAGAGAAAAAGGGGTGGAGTGAACAAAGTTATCCTTATAAACGGTAAATTGACAAGATTCCCAATTACCATGGAAACAATTGAAGAATAATCAATATTCAACTTCGTTCCCACCCATTGACATCATTATAATTAAATAATGTGTTGAGGTGACTTGCAGACACAAATAGTTGCGTTTGTGATTTGAAGGATGGAAGAAAAATAGTATGAGAAAATAGGAAAATATAGAAACAAGAAAAGAAAGGAAAACGGAAATGAGACATGTTTGAAAGAGGTATGTTCTTACCTTAATACATGTAGAACTACGTGATGTACTTGGCGAGATGGGTGAACAAACTGGAGAATTCAGTTGACTCTGCTGCTGCTGCTGTTGCTGTTGCTGCTGCTGTTGCATCAAAAGCAGAGAATTCGTGTAAAGGTAGCTATGATCTGAGAAAGGAAAATATGACGGTGAACCAAGCCCATACGTAGTAAGAGCAGATGAAAAGATCAGTGGCGAGGATCGAAACATCAGCTGGGTCAGGCGTCCTATAAAACAACGTACGAAACGAGGAGAACGAGACTAAAAATGGAAGAAACAGTATACTGTTTGAAGAGAGGCAAGAGAAGCAAGTGAAGAGGGCTGAAGAGGAGATCAATGTTAGACATACATAGTATAAGAGAGTACAAAGACTGTAAAATGGGTGGAGTAAACTGTAAGGGAGGAGGAAGAGGAGGAGAGTAAGAGTTATGGAAGTGAACCTGAATTAGACAAGTGGCAAGAGAGACAACACTGACAGTCCAATTGATGATACGAACCGACTATCGTTGCAACTTAGTAATGATGTTTGGCTTCAGCATGTTAAAGTTCGTATTCGAATAAACGAAATTGAGTTTTCAGATAATAGTATAAGGCTGTTAGTGACTATGGAGCAAATATTTCGAAATTACAATATTCCTGTCATTCTGCATCATGCTCGATTGTTATTCTTATCTCAGAGGTTTATTGAAGCTCACGCTTCTAACTTCGTTCCAAATCTCATTCTCAGTTTCTTTCTATGTTTTCGAATCATATAATTGTAGTAGGAAATATGTAATTTAATCTATGTATAAGAAAGAGATTGTTATAAATAATATTTTGATTGACGAGAGAAGTAAAGACGTAACAAGAGATGTTGGTCAAGTTGATGATGGGGGTGATGGAAGTTTGTTGCTTTCAAAGTCAAGGAGAACAAATTGACCTGAGCTCAATGTTTTAGTAACACATGTGTTTTGCATGTGGAGCAGAATGATAAGATTAAAATCTCGAAATTCTTTCAAATTTTGATCTTAATGTTTCCTGTGCGTTTGGTGACAAAATATTTCGGAAACGTCAAATCTTTGAACACTTCTGTTTAAACAGGAAGAAAGAAAAAAACAATAACCTTCATAGTCACTTGAGATAGTTCCAAAAACCAAAAAGTTCCATTCGACTTGATATATTTCTCATGATACTCTGGTCATTCGCTCGTCCGATTTTTGCAACAAAAAAATTGACAACAAACATCATCAGAAAGAAGTACTTGAGCAAAGAAAACTATTTGATCTTGAGATCAACTAGACGACTTCTGTGAACAAAACGATCTTCCATTCTGTTTCATGTTGAACATGAACTTCAGTAAAGAAATGTATTTCATTCTAGACAGCGTATAAAGTTTGAACTTCTCTATTTATCAAAAAAAAAGAAATGGAAAGTTCTTAAGAGAAACTTAGACATTGGATGTTATGTGATAACGAAAGAAACATTCACGTCAAAGCCATTGATAACTTGAATTTTTGATTTTGTAGTTTGTGAACATTCACAAATACCAAAGATATCTGTCAGTAAACTTTGGAAGAAACAATCTTTTTTTGTTTCAATCATAGTTTGTTCAAAGATTTTGACAGAAAGCATTTTCCGATAGGCTTTGTCACTACAATTTGAACGAGAATATTTTAAAATCAAACCAATGATCATGAAAATCACGTGGTTATATTGGAATGAAGTAACCGGAGAAAAGTGAGAAAAGAAGAGAGAGAGAAAAAATAGAGAGAGAGAGATAGATAAAGAGAAATAAATGGAAAGACTAGGAAATAGTAGGAATTAGACAAAAGAGTCAAGAACGAGGAATAGACGGAAATGTGAAATGGCGGAAGACCAGCCAAGAATACAACTTAATACCATGATTGTTATTCATTAAAAATTATATTTATATTTAAAATTAATATATGTGTATATGTATAATATTGTTTGAGGGAGATATGAAATTAGCTTTATACCCACTGGCATTTTGCTTTAATCGCATTTTCCGTCATATTCCGTTCTTTGATGGGGCATTGGGTTCAATTATGAAAACAATGAGAAATTTAGTTCGTCTATGCAGAGCTAATAGGTGACAATCTGCCAAAACATCTAATTTCAAAAACTAATCACGAAAATAATCCTCAGAGGTAAATAATATGTAAAAAAACTGATAAAATTGGATAGATAGCTTTCGTCCTATTTTGTAATTTAGCCTCCCTCATTGGTTTACGAAATTATGAGATCGAACAGACTGGTTTAATGATCAGTTTTGGTCAGAAGAGGGAAAAGCAGTTTTCTTCTCAGTTCAATTTGTAATAATGTGTGCCAAATTTGGAGAGTTTCAAAAAATGAAAGGAATGATTCGTAATGATATGGGTGGAGAAGAATTCATTGTCAACCAAATTAGGATGACAATGAACTTCTGATGAAGGAAGGTCTGAAATTCTATACAAGAAAATGGAAATGAAAGTTGAATGAAATAAAGGAAGCAACCTTTAAACTATTTTTGAAGGAAAACGAAATTTTTTTTATTTTGTCGCTTTTTTTTTGTCTGCAAAAGAAAAAAAAAGTTATAAAAGGTGTGTAGGTGGACGAAGTTTGCACGAAGGGACATGTTTAATCTTCCAAGAGGACCGTCATACTTGCAGCTAGTTAAATAAAACAACCGCAACTTATTTTTTTATTTTCTTTTTGATTTTCACAATATAGCGATGATGATCATTGAGATCAATAAAAAAACATTTGTTGTGTCGGAAATATCTATTTGACCTTCTTCGTTTTGTTTCCATTTAAGAAAGAACTAATTCGTTTTTTTCTCCGTTCAATGAAATCAAAATGTTCACAAAGGAAACACATTCAGTTGCGAAAATGCAGAAACCAATGCTAAATCACATGTTTATAAATATAAAGTTAATGATGTAATAGCGTTCAAGAGATCATTATGAGGGGCTAAAGTCAAATCCCAAGCAGATTAAAGCAGATTGTTACGTCAGATAAAAGCTGATAATTTTTTTTCATTTTCATCTTCCAATATACTTTTTTTTGTGCAAAACTTTACTTCTATGTAAGCAGAAGAACAACAAAAAGAATTTTATTTAAACATTTTTTTTCTTTTCCGAAAAATTTACACGTTCGGAGCGTGCATTCCGATCAGCAATTTGCAAAGATAAAGGTTCACGTGGACGTCACGTGGACACTTCATTCTAACTCACATGAAGTTCAGAAGCGGTTGCATTCTATCATTAGATGTTAATTATTTATTTAACAAAATAATATATGAGCTATGAAGTGATGTGAAACAGGAAATTATTTGAAACATAATTTTTTCATTTCATTTCTAAAAACAAAAGCTTTGAAAATATGAGAAAATGAAGAAATTTTGTAAAGAACTAATCGGTCAAACCGAATCGTAAGCTTTTAAAACATTTCAAATCAAGTTTGGGTAGTTATTTGAGAAAAAAATAAAAGAAAATACAGTGTATAGCGAGAACGAACTGGAGCACCAGGGTGATCTGTAGACGTCATTCAATCGTCAAATACCATTGAAATTTTGATAAACTATCTGATATATGATTACATATAGTTCAAATGATCAAGCACAGAATATTATGTTAAAATGCAATTTTAATACAAAAGATTAAAGATTACAATATTAACTTTCAAATATGAAAATGCAGAAGAGATGGAAGAAGAGAAGAAGGTTATTGGATGTTGGGGTGGAGGGGGGAGTGAGACGAGTGGGTGAAGAGAGAAGAGAATAAGTAGTAACAGGAGAAATGGATAAGGTTGAACGAAACAAAACTTTTTTTTCCTTATAATTCCATTTTTATATACATATAATTAAGTTTCTTCAAATTATAAATCATTTTCTAATTTTATTTGAAAAATAATATTTTCTTTCATCAAATGTTCGAAACGCTGACGATCTTGTGGAATATGGAACTATCTCACAAATAATATCAAACATCACTATCAAGAAGAATATAAAATTACATTTCTTTCAATGTTCACTAGTTTGTGTGTCAGATTTCATTGATTAAAAGTATAAATAAGGTAATAGAACTATGAATGGAAGATTAAAGAAGCAGATCATCATGAGATTCTTATCAACTTAAGCTGCATTAAAATGACTTTTAAAAGATTTGAAAAAGATATTTTGATTAAAAAGCATTCTAATACTATTTCCGATCATCATTAATCACAATCAAAAGAGAAATCTTTCACAAAGATGGATCAAGGAAGACTACATCAAGACATTTTTGATTTTTGTTGTGTTCGCTTAGATTACAAATTATTTTATTGATTTGATGCGTCTATTGTTAACTATAATATTTATAATATAGTAGACGTCTTTCGTTATCATTCATAGGTTGTACATGTTGCTCAAGCAGATATTCTCCTTCAATTAGTCCATTCACTCTCTCTCTCTCTCTCTCTCTCTCTCTCTCTCTCTC